TTTATCTCCTTTTGTTTTTATTCTGAAAAGTATAATGGTGCGTGGAAACTCTCTCACCGATGACTTAAGACTTTTAGTTAATAATCCTCAATATAGTGATTTAGAAATTAAATGCAAAGATGGTACTATACTTTATGGTAACCGTGCGATCCTTGCCGCTCGCTCTGAAGTGTTTAATAGAACACTCTTCACTCGAGGTTTCGAAACTCCTGACAAACAAATTTCTTTTTCAAAAATCGAATCATCGCACATGAATATTGTTCTTGAATATCTATATACCGGAATACTTCTTGAAAAAGAAATTACAATCGACAATTCTTTTGAAGTTTTATATGCCGCCGATTTCTTTCAATTAGAGAAACTTCAGGACCTTATTTCAGAACATTATAAAAAAATATGTACTGGCGAGGAGATCGAAAATAAATCACCAGAGTTATTATCTAAGGCAGTTCAACTGATGTCATCTAAAGCCGATAATAGAACCATTAGATATTTGGTAGATTTGGTTTCCAGAATTCCGTTAGACTCCGTTGAATTGGATAGATTGTCTCTTCAAGGTTTACAATGCATGTTATTAAAAAGAGATGAAAAGAAAACTTTTGCATCGAGTGAATATTCTGTTTTTCGATTTGCAATTTTGGCAGCTGCAAAAAACTTATCCCAAGAAGCATATGTTGTTCTGGAAGAAAGGCTACCACTACAAATAATGGCTCAAGAAGTGTTTCAGACTCTCAACAATGGTGAATCGATAAAGAAAGAAATCAGTAAATCAGTGGCAGATATTGTAAAACCTATCGTAGAGTATATCGACTTAAGAAGGATTGATGCAGAGATTATTGAAAAAATAATCGAGCCATTAGATATTGTTTCGTCCAGTAAAATTATAGAAGCATATCGATTCCTAGCTCGTAAGAATGCTCCACTATCAGAATTTTACGGAGTCCCTCTTTTTATGTGGGATCAAAATAATTGTGGTGCGGGTTTAGAAATTAGTAATAATGGACGAATAGTTAATGCACCCAATATTGTTACTAGTCATAGAAGCGTAAGAGTTAACTACCTTATGAGTAGTGGTGTTCATGAATTTCATGTTTTAAACGAGAATCATGGTAATTGTTCTTGGTTTGGAGTATGCAGCGATGAACTAAACTTTTCTATATATGCTGGCGTGCAACCATATGCGTGGATTTTAGGTGCTGATGGAAGCTGCGTTCATAATGGCAAAAGTGTAATCTTAACTCCTGGATTTGGTATAAATGCAAGAATTATAGTACATCTAGATATGGATAATAAGACAGTTGCATTTTCAATTAATGACACAAGATATCCACCAGTTGCATCATGGACAAATCTTCCATCGAAACTTTATTTTGTTGCTTCGCTTATGTTTGCAGGAAGGTTTAGGATTTTACATCCAGACGAATAAAGATTAAAAAACATCTAATTATAGGAATAAACTAATCTAAAAAATATATTTGCAATTATTCAGTCATAAATTTAACCTGTATGCTTTTGGTAGAAAGTAATTTTATAGTTTTTAATTTATAGAAAGTTTCCTCAAAGAAAAAGAATGGAACATAATATATTCGAAAAAGTAAGTCATGACTTTGACGAAAAGACTATTTCAATAGAAACTAAATTTAAAAAAAATGTAGGCTTAGCGTAATGCATTAATTTATTCAATAAATATCTACAAGAACTCCAAGTTTACCACTAATTTAAAAGATATATGAAAATCAAGGCATATATTCGAATTTGGATATAACGATATGTTCATAGTGAAGTCTTAATAAAAACTGGTTATGACGAATTTTAGAGTCTTGAACTTTTGTTTATAATTCGTTATAAAAAGGCAATTTCATTATTAAAAATTTTAAAACCTGCTTTATAACGTATTTTTAGGAAATTTTCTTTGATTTTACTAATCGTGCGGTTTGACTTTAAAAATGTCAAGCAATTTTGTCAGAATATTTTTAAATGTCGGCCTTTACTATATATTTTTGATGTGTTTATCTTTCTAAAAGTTGTGTGTTAGATTACTTTTAAAATAATAAAAACTCTTTATAGCAAATAATATTGATATACCATAAACTGAGTTTTTTCAAAAGTTTTAAATTCAGTATTTAGTAAAATTACTATATTTTTTATACTGTATTACTTAAAAATATTATAACTATTCTAGGTTTTTTTAACCCTTTGTCGGGTTAGTTATATTGTATATACTTTATTAAACATTTGTAGACTGTATATAAATTTATGTATTGCAAAAAATAATTCTCTAACCAACTCACTTGTTTTGTTTAAATAACCTTAAATATACCTTTGTTAGTAATTTATTATTCCATTAATAGTTTAAATTAAAATCCTTCAAATAATATTATTTCTTGTTGCAGACATTATAACTGTTTTAATATTTTAAAAGAAGTATATATAAATAAATTTCTATATTTTTTGTTGCAATTATATAATTATAGCATGTTTTATTGAGATATTCTTAATGTTAAATGAATTTATATTTATATATTATTAATTAAATAATTGTATTGTTAAGAAATAAAAAAGTTTATTATATTAGATTGAACTAGATAAAACTAAATCTCAACTAGATACTCTAAATCAAATTTTAAAAAAATTATTTTAATTGTAAAATATATTAATACTAAACTATTAATCTATCAAAATTTTCATTAAATAATTATTATCAATTATTTTAAAAACTATTAAATTGCTAAGCAAAAAATATATATAATTAATTCAATAATTTTTTAAAAAATTTTTTGTTTAATTATAATATTCTTTAGCTTTAAACAATTTAAAAACTTTATTGTTTCTAAATAATAAGACTTCTATAAAAATTTTAAAAATATATTCTCTAATTATATATAAATTTATTTATTATAATTTTTATATAAATACTATATTAAAAAAGTATCTATCACAATAAGGTAATTTTTAAAAAAATTTAATTAATTAATTAATTTTTTTTATTATTTTAAAAACTTAGTAAAAAATAAATATTGGTAATATATATTATTTATCAATAATCTTTTAATATTATAATTATTTTAAGAATTTATTCAATTAAAGAAAAAAATCTTTTATAATCTTTTTTTTAATTACTAATAATTTCATTAAATATATAATTATAATCATATTTAATAAATCAATTTATTTTATATTATTTAATTATTTTTATTATAAGTAATTTATTTATATTTTTTTGAAACTCTTTTCACTGATTCTTCAATCATATACTAAAAAGATATTTGCCAAAAATCTTCATACTTCTTTATTAATAAAGTCTTAATACTTTTATTAAACCAATTTAAATAAAATTTTATAAGTCACACCACTTCTTTTTCCTACTTATTAATATATCTCTTCAGTAAAAAACATGTCGTATGTAACCTAAAAGCCATGAAACATCTTTTCTATCAATAGTAAAAAAGTTTTAAAAGAAAAAAGAATTAATGTTTTATTATCAACTCAACTTATAAAAAAACATTTATAGAGCTTGTTATAATAATAGAGCTATTATAAATATACTTTTTTTTTTTTTTTTTTTTTTTAATACACACAACGTTGCCCATTTTATTGATTATATGCGTTATACAATTTTCATTTACAAAGCTATTTTATAAACTATA